ACCTACATAAAGATTATCCAGCGGTGTAGAGACCCACACTGCAAGCATGAAAAGGTGTGGACAAACCAGAGATTTATACGGACAATGCCTGTAGGAAATCTCCTTTTGTCAGCAGCCATAGTAATGTCAGGTATTTATGGCGCATTGTTACAAATATAAATATTTATAGAGTCTAGAGGCCTCCATTTTTACTCATCGTAACCCAATGTCTCATGTATCCAATTTCTAGGTCTTCCCACAGAAAACACCCTCAGGATGTTCCCATTTTTGAATATTGCCTGTGTGTCGAGGTCTTCATTTTATCGACACAGCACCACATACATTACCCCAACCATAATACAGTGCTGGAAAAATGAACAGGCCATTCTATGTCAGCAAATGAAGGATCGTGGAGACCCCCTTATCCTTACTGGCGATGCAAGGTGCGACTCCTTTGGCCATAGTGCGAAATGTGGGTCTTACACAGTGATTGAGCAAACCATAAACAGAGTTCTTGATTTTCAACTTGTTCAGGTGGGTGGGTGTTGCAAATGGGGTTCAATGAAAATGTTGAAAATGATTCACACAYACTTATTACTTACCTTAGAGCAATGAAGTGAAGAACAGTTCTTGGATGGAGGTTGAGGGGCTAAAGAGAAGCGTACAGTATTTGACTACAGTGGAMCTYTCAATCGGCACTTTGATAACCGACAGAAGCTCGTCAGTTTCAAAATACATCCGAACAAAATTACAGGACACCAAACACTACTATGACATCTGGCATGTTGCTAAAGGTATTATTTTATCGTACTTTTTAAAGGATAAATGTGGGATATAATGCTATAGAACACATAACTAAGGGACTTGTCAGAAATTAACAGGGGGGGGAGGGGGGGTAAAAAATGTGGGAGGGTCATAACTTTTTGAGCCACTAAAAAGGGAAGGGCATGAAAAAACTCTGCTTTTTGGACAAATCCAAGGGTAGGGTCACAGAATTTCATCCCTATTGCAGGGGAAGGTCACATCCTTTTCAACCCTCCTTTCAAAATCTCTACCCCACCCCCACTTCTAATTTCTGACAAGTCCCTAAATACAAAATTAATACAGATCATTTAATTGTAGGACTTGCCAAAAAAATCGATAAGATTCCCAAACAGAAGGACTGTCAAGATGTTGGGGAATGGAAACAGTCCATCAGTAACCATATGTATTGGTGTGCAGCCTCAACACCTGATGGTGATGGAAATCTTATCAAAGCAAAGTGGGAGATCTTACCATTACACATTCAGGGTATACACAKAGGGGGAAATGCTCTATACCCTGAATGTGGCCATGGACAACTTCGTGGAGAGAGCAATGATAGACTATGGTTGGACAAAGGTACAAATTGAAAGCATCTTTGTACAGTTGTACATAAATACAGTATCGAAATACCAGG